TCTCTCCACCACACCTCCTCTCCGTCTCTCCATATCTCCGTCACTCGTCATCAGAGACACACGAAGCTTCTTCGCTCAGTCCTTTCATTGTCACAGAGCGTTTCATTATTCAGAAGGTCACACGCTGACGCAGACTTTAATCGTATGATGAAAGCAAAACAATCTAATGATATAATGTGAATGAAGATGTCTGCATGTGACTTTATGTTTAGTTCAGAGGCTGTGTGTACGCAGCTCGTGCGATGGGCGGAGCCTGTAGAGCAGCAGGAGGCGGGACATGATGACTCTGCTGTGTAAAGATCAGTGTCTCCTCGTCTTTCCAAGTGGACGTCTTGTTTTACCAGGAAGCTGCAGGAAAAGATCCAGAAAATGTCCAGAGACTCAGACTGAGACATTCATTGTTCTCATGTCTTCAAATGAGGAAGATGACTGGTTTCATTTGTGGTTAATGGGAGGAAGCGGAGACGTGTTCTCCATCTTTATTTACAGTCGTGTTACTTGTTTTTAGAGCATGAAGGACAAACACAGATCTGGAGTCAGATCACTTCAGCGCAGCCTCACATGTTAACCTGTGGTGAGCAGACAGGCGTTAATCTGCTGTTAGAATAAAACCTCCCCTCTGTAAACCAACATCTCGACCCGGGTCCTCGCTCCAACGAGTCCTGACAAACTCTCCTGTTAGGATTCGGACAGTTGATCAGAATCAGACATCGCTCTGTAATCAGCCAAACCTCCAGCAGTGCCCTCCAAGATACACGCCTCCTTGTTTCCCTGTTGTTCCAGCCGGGATGACAGCTTGTCAGTCGTCTCAGGCCGGGACGCACACTGCAGATGACACCGTGGACGGCTGCTGTGTATCACCGGAGCCACAGCGGCGTTGTTAAAATGTCTCTCGCCGATCACTGTCACTCTGGCAGAGCGTCTCTGCGCTCTGTCAGCATATTTAGGCAGGAGGCACAAAAAAAAAAAAAGAAGAAGAAGGAAGCGATCCGACCCCGGGCGAATGATTTAAATTCACCTGCAGTGTGCGGAGATTGTCGGTGGCTTGTCACGTTGCTCCAGGCTGTAATCCGCCGGCCGCATGCTGTACGTGTCACCGGGCTACATCTTTTTATTTTTTCTGACCTGCTCCATCACCTGCTTTCTACCTCCTTTTCTCCATCCCTCCTTCTCGCTCCCTCTTTCTTCTTTTCTCACTTTGATCTTGCTCCTCTTGCTTTACTCTCTCTAATCCGCTGCTTGCATATATATATATATATATATATATATACTGTTTGACAGACGAAACTTACTGTTGAGGTGGAGAATCGCTCCTCGTTGAAAAGCCGCTGCTTTCCGTAAAGCATTCAGGAGGAGAAAGGCCAAAGGGTCTCAGCAGGTAGTGCTGGCTATTTATTAGAGAGGGCTGCTGGCTACACCTCCAGTCTGACTGAAAAACTGAAAGAGAAGAATATTACACCGTCTGCAGCCGAGAAAATGAGAGCGATCAAATTATGGAATGAGGGAGAGGGATAATAGGGGGCAGAGAGAGAAAAATATGAAATGGGTGAACATTTAACTTGGTGGTCCTGCGGGGCCTTGGGAGGCAGCTCTCTTTGTCTTCAGGATATTGCAGAGTCACCTCCAGGAGTTTAGTTGTGATGACTGGACCCAAAAGTGCAAAAGTTTTGCTGTGTTTGAAAAGTGTGAAGATGAGACTCTGAAAGAACTCGGTGTTCCCGTCTCACCGAACATAATGTAGAGTCCTTCAGTGGATCTGCGGGGGAGGAGGGTGGCGTCAACAGGACAACAAGAAACCATGAATATATTTTACTATAGATATTAACTTTAATGATCCTTACTTACTCACTTATCCTCCTTTAATTCAAATACAGATCAGGCTGACTGCTCACTTGTTTAGCGTGTTAGAGGCACGTGCACATGAGGAAGCTCAGTGTTAACATACCAATCAACATGCTGCACATGTACATTAACATGCTCACATGCTAAACATTAAACATTCACATACTATGAAGTTAAAAAACTGAAAGTCTTTAATATTAAAGTAAAATGAATCCACTAGGGGGCGTAGATGCTCCAGTCATATTGTTATTTTAAAGATTTAGAGATCGGACACATTCATACTTGCTTCATTCTTCTGTTCCTGTTTCTGTGTCATAAAGTCGACGAGTTCTCAGAGTCCGTCTGGGAAATGTAGTTAATCGCCAGTTGCAGTCGAGGTCGTTGAGAGACGGAAGAAAAGTGGGAACACGCAGTGACGGAAAATTACAAGTCATGACCAGAAACTGCAGAACACGATGAGCATCACAGAATCATTTAAAATCTAACTCCAGTGTGAGAGGGATATTCTCTGACAGGGTGAGAGTGGGTGAGACGTCCAATCAGCGCTCGTGATTTCACACATCGCAGCAGAAGAGCCTCCACCCGCAGAACTCACAGGTTCTGGTCGTGTGCTCCTTGACGTCTGTGGATTATAGTGGTGCTGAATATGGAGATGCACGTGTCAGTGGTGGTTAATTGCTTCCAGCCGGACTTCGTCTATTAGCGTTTGCTAGCTATCGTCACTTCACACAGTGTGCAGGCTGCATTATGCAGTTTACAGTAAATTAGTTACAGTGAGCGGAGCGGAGGGCACATGCTGATCCAGCTCATATGTGACGGGGGGGGAAAACGTGACATAAATATTCATGCATGATGTCGAACGTGTGTGGATACATTTAAATGCAGCACAGTGAATTTACACCGTACAGTACCGAACAGTGAGTGAATACTTGATCTAACAAGAACAGTTCTTCTCTCCGCTATAAATGGCGAGAGCCCTGATATGTACGATCAAAGTGTTGTGTTAGATTTGCTGGAGGAGTCTCCGCTCTCCGAGGGAACTCGGCAGCCGGGAGGATTGTGCAGGGAGTTTAATCTCTGTTTATTTTGGACGATCACACCAGAAGTCCTCAGAGTTTCCTCCGATTTCCACCAAACAGCTCAACTGTCCTCGATCACCACAATCCTCCCCGACCGATCACACACCTGTTCCCCTCGTCCCCTCAGCCCACAGGATATTTACCGTCCGTCTGTGCTCGTCCAGTGGACAGATCTTTGTCTCTGTGAGCTCTGTTTGATTCCCTTTGACCTGTTCTTTCCCAACTACCTCTTCATGTACCTGCCTGAGAGTTAAAGTATCACGATGTCCTCACCTAAGACTTAAACGAACAGGGCTACAGCTACATACTTCATAAAGAGGGCACAAGTTGTGTCCGGCTGTGAGGACAGAGAAAATCTGGTTTGTGTAATTGCTTGAATTATTGATGTTTAAAACTAAAAGCCATAAATCTGACTCGTGTTACAGTTTTGCTGTGACTTGATTAAAAAGAAAATAAGACAGTTGTTCCTCGTGAATGAATGAAAATATGTTTTCTAGAGATGATCACGAATGCAGGACACGCGTATGAATAACGCCGACACTCTATCTGTCATAATCTCTCTCATGGTGTCTCCTTCAGAACTGTCAGGGATTCACCAGAGAATCAGCAATTTATGTTTCCTCAATAATCTTTGAGCTACGACCGCACAAGCCTGAATATGAGTTCTACTGAGATACAGTGTACTTGTACTTTATTCGGTGATTGTTGATGTGTGTTTTTAAGAAAGTAAAACTTCAACGACCTCAGTCTAAAAAAAAGAACAAGGAGAAGAGAAGTGACTCCACCTGCAGTCATCAGTAGGAGAAGAGTTATTTATCCCACGTGGACCAGACGGAGTTCCACTTCACATAGAGATAATTAATCTGTGACTTTCAGACAGGTGGCGCTGTGTCCTGCTCCCGGGAGGAAGCACATCTCCAGACGTCAGGGAGAGTCGAGCATTAAACTCTGTTTAATTTGTGTCCCCCTCGTCCTGTCTCCGTCCACCTGGCTTCAACGTAAATGATGAGTTTTTCTGTGAAGACAGGGATTTAAATAACGAGAGCTGCTCTGCGGGTTTCACATCGTGGTTCCTACTACTTTCTTACTTTGATATTTTAATCTATGTTGAGTTATCCAGATTTTTTTTGTCTAGTCTGAAAATAAATTAGAGCTTCTGCATTGTTCATTTTGACGTCGGGATCCTGTCGATGAGATTTGACCCATTTTTAGTTGACATGGAAACAGAGGCTGCAGTTTATTTATCAGAACTGTGACACAGCAGGAGTTCACTTGAAAACAATTTCTGTAAACACAGTCTGTGTTTGAACTTCAGTAATAAAGTGTGAACGCCATCGTCTGTTTTCTGGGTTAAAGAAGCTCGTCCTCTCATTGCTGTTGTCTGATTGTCGTTCTTTGAGCTGTTGCTGAACTTTTGATCAGTGAGTTGAAGTTGACTGAGACTCAGTGTGAACAGGAGCTGGTTTCAATGTTTAAAGATGTTTTCTGGCACAAAAAACCCACAGAGCTTATTTTTCACTTCATGTTTTTGTGTCATTGTTCTGAGCTGCAGGTTTAAAGTGATTAAAATACAATTGTTAATTTAAAAACGGCCTCATTATATTCCATCTGTGTGTCCTTGCTCATTAAATGTGTTATCGATGAGGCTGAGGAGCGGCTGTGCTCGCTGACTGGAGCTGTATAGATCAGCTGAGACTCAGAGATTATGTTCATTGATCAGACAGAAGGGGTTTGTGGTTTCACACACACACACACACACACACACACACACACACACACACACGCACACGCCTCCCGTCTGACTGTGTTTCTGTGATTTCAGGGGCTGAAGGAGCCGTGTTCAGCAAATCAGTGGAGACGCCGCACGTCAGAGCCGAGCCGTCCAAAGAGCTGCGGTGAGTTTTATTCTGTTAACACGCGTGTGCAGTGAACACACAGGTTCTGTGTGAGGCCGTGCACATGTGTTGTGTTCATAGACTGAGCCTTCACGATCACATGTGCAGCTCATAAATACAATTTTAATGTGATGCAATAAAACACTTAAACCAACAAATCACCTCACACACAACACGAACACACTCTGAATGTTTACTCGCTATTAAATTAATAATACATTTATTCTTTAAGCCAGTAAATCAGGAAAATAATAAGACTTAGATTAAAAATCTTAAATATTCCATAACTTGGTTGCAGCCTCCGACCTGTTTATCTACTGAGCTGATTAAAATCCATATTAAACAGTAGCTCAGGCGACGAAAACACTTAATTGACAGAATTAAAACAAATGCAAAAAACCTGCAGATGAAACAACTTGACTTTCTCTTAATTTTTCTGCTTCAGCAGGTTTTTATTTTCCAGGGTTCAGTCCGGTGTCATGATTTAAAATAAATATTCAGTTTATTTTTCTGCTTTTACAGATTTAATTAAATTAAAGTTTAAAAATCTCTGTGTCTTTTTCACACAAACAGTTTGAGTCTAATTTTCAGCTCTAATCATGGAAACATTTACATTATTGGGCCAATATTTAAATTTATGATGTGTGACTAACTGCTGAATCACTGACGCTTCACTAATGGATTCGTCAAATGTATTTATTGGCTCTTTTTTTCTTGATATAATTTGGCCCAAAGGAAAAGTTTGTACTGTTTCCAAATCAAAATATTTAGACCCGATGAGATTTATTATGTCCTGTAGAGACAGAAGGTTTCCAGGTCGCCTGTCCGTCGTGCACGATATCTCAGGAACGCCTTGATGGAATTAAACATTTGTCCCAGCACCTTCCGCTGGTGAAGAGAATGTAAATCTATAAAGTGGTGGAAAGAGCAATGTCTCATGGGTAATTAACTCGTCCGTCCAGCGACGTCTGAGATTACTGGCTCCATCTTTTGCCAATAGATGCATTACGCCTCCTCATCTTCACCCTCCTCTTCATCAGTCCCTCTCTCTCCATCTACAAATCAGCAAAACCTCAGAGCAGCTCCTCCTGTGTCGTAGGGAAATGAACAAGGGAGGAGGCGTAAGACGAGAGAGGAAGGACAGAGAGCAAAGATTTGGCTGAACAGACATCAAACGAAACAAAGGAAAGATGTGAGGAGGAGGAGGAGGAGGAGGAGGAGAAAGAGGAGGAGGACGATGTGTATTCAGGTGAAACAGCATCTGTTTGTAGACGGACTTTGGGCGTTTTGAAAACAGAAGCTGCTGCAGTTAAAACACGTCTTTTTTCAGTTCTTCATCCTTTTATATTCAGTTTCACTCATTTCAAATGAGCCAAGAAATACATGTAGGAGGAAGACGAGGGGGAAATGCATGAAATCAATCTGAGACACTTTTCGTTCGGAAATGTAAACATGAGCTGTTTTCACACGCATACTGAAGTCTACACATGTTCCTGACATGTCCCTGACATGTCCCTGACATGTTCCTGACATGTTCCTGACATGTTCTGTATGTGAGGACACAAATGTGCGAGTCAGTTGCTCTGGAACTTTTCCCGCAGCCTCTTGGTAAAATGTCAGAGTGACGGACGTGAAACTGGAAGAACACAAATGTCTCAGGATGAAGAAGAGGAGCCGTACACGGAGAAGACGAGGTCGTGACTGACCTCGTCAGAAACACTGATCTTGACTGACATACACAACATGTCTGTAGAGTCGGTGTGTTTGTCTGAGATCCTAACTCACACCTCTGCTCTGATTAGTTCGCTCCGCAGGACTTAGTGGGCGGCAACAGGGTGTGTTTGATTGACAGCTCCCTCGCTCTGGAGTGTATTGACGTCAGCATAACCTGAGATAAATCCCAGCTCTGATCCGCCCACCTTCCACCTCAGCAGACGTTTAATCAACCAGAACAACTGGAAACATCTGTGAGGGAGTGAAGTGCCTGAACACACACAGCTGCTTGCAACCTGGATATAGGGACTGATGTAACCTGAGCTTTAACGCCCGGACTTTCCCTGACTTGGTTTTTAAATCCTCACCAAGCTCGGCAACGAGCCTGAATCAGGTTTGATTCAAATGAACCAAATAACTCAGTCCTGACACACAGTGTGATCAGTCATCGTCATCGAGGACAATCGAAGAAGAATCAACCTTTATGATTAGAAAAAACAAGCTCAATTAACTCAAGATGAATAATTAACTTGTGCAATACAAACGAGCTGAGATACACACACACACACACACACACACACACACACACACACACACACACACACAGACGTGTCCTAGCATCACACAAAATCGTGTCCCAAACAAGTCAGAGCAGAGATACCAGGAATCAGTATGTGAAGGATGAAGGAGCTGAAACATTTATTTTTTTTTTAAAGTGAAATGAGAAGTGAAGTGTTCCTCACTTCCTGCAGGAGCTGAAAGTTTCCCCCCTCATGAAAAGTTTGATAGACTCACATTAGATTCTCTCTTTGTGTTTCTAAGCGCTTCTACAATCTGAGGTGCTGAGATTGAATCTGTCGGACTCGCACAGCAGGAGACGAAGCTCAGAATGATCCAACACGAGCGAAATGTCAACAACATGTTACACAACTGAGAACAATGAAGCTGCTCCACCGAGATCTTTTCTCTTGTTCCTCTGCATGTTCCTATAAAATCATTCCTACAACAGATGTGCTGCTGTTTTTACTTTTAATGCTATGAGTATTAGTAATAGTACTACTTCATGTTCTTATACTATTAGTAAGAAACCAGATAACATCAGCCCAACACCATCCTCTTCATCTTCTTTGTCTCACACCATCCTCTTCATCTTGTCCTCTTCTCTTCATTGTCCTTGTCCTCTTTGTTTCTTTCACGTTACATTAATCTCAGATTTTAATCTTTGCTTTTCAACTATTCAAACATGGAACTGCGAAGGTCCACATGAGCAGAAACCAAATAAAAAACAAAGCTGCGGCATCAGAACAAAAGAGATCACCACTCAAGATGGCCGATCTCCCTCCCTGCACCTCCGAGCGTCATCAGAAATAAAAAGCATAAATAACAGGTGGAAAATTATCTTAGTAACAAACCATCTTCTCTCGGGTTCTGTTCATCCTCCTCTTCTTTCTGTCGTCTCTAATGTCACAGCTGCTCCTTTCTTCTCCCCCTGCTCGGCCCTCGTCCTCCAGCTCACACTGCTCCCTGTAATTGAGAGGATGGCGTGTTCCCTGGCTGAACTACAGGTCGTCCGCCAGGACGCTCACAGCAATCAGCTTCACCCGCGCGGGCCGAGATTGCCATTTAACCTATGATTTGCTGCGTGGCACGACAGGAGCCTATTTCAGCTCTCCATAGTTTATGTATTTATAACGTTCTGCACTCTGTTCACACGGTTTGGAAAAGAAAGTGGCAAATAGTTGAAAGAAGGCGCCGTCGTCAAGGTCGAAGGAGTCACACGCAGACGGGAAAGTAGAGAAAGCTGCTCAAAGGTTTCAGGGTGAGCAAGCTCACAAATTCTGTCGTGTCAAAAAACTCCAGTGTTTACCGAAGGCAGACGACACGAGGACGACGCATGAAAAGTTATTAACCTCTGACTCCAGCTGTAGATATGAAGCTCTGCCAAGAAAAGGAGAGAGGATAAGAGGATGTAAAGAAGAGGAAGAGAGAACAAGAGCGAGACGACGAAACTTTATTGATTGCTGAGGGGAAATGAGGCCGTGGCTGCAGTAAAAGCAATGTGTGACGACATTGGAAAAAAGATCAAAAATAAAAAGCAAAGACGAAAATAGACAAAGGGATATGATGTTAAAACAGGTAGACACAAGGTTAAAGTGCGTAAATATATTACAACATTAATGGAAAGAAAACTTTAATACAGACATGCTTTGCTTTTAAATTCAACAACGTGTCTAAGTATGAGTGTAAAAGAAAAGTCAAAAGAACATGAGACAAAGCTGCAGCAAAGAGGAAAAATTGAAATGATTTAACCATGTGAGAGAAATATTTCATCGGCCGACTCCCTGCGGAGCAAACCTGAGAGAACGAGGGAGGATGAAAGAGGAGGGAGGCCGAGTGAAGGAGTGATGCAACACTTCTCATCCACAACCACAGAAAAGTTAAGAGTTACAACATCGGAGAAAATTCTTCCTCTTTGTTTGGAACCTCGAACAAAAGCCATCAAATCTAAAAATCTGCTTTTCCTGTTGTTTCCTCCAGAATCGTTTGACCCAGAACCGTCTAATTGTAAAGTGTCCAGCCTTTATTTCACTCTGTGGGATTAACAGGCTTCACTGAAACATTTCATTCATTCGGTCTTTTAACCAAACAATGTTTAGAGGTTCCCGTCTGTCCTCTACGATCTGACTGACCGAGACTGTCCTCCAATAAAAAGACGCACCGGGTCAGAGGCTGCTAAGATGAAGGTTCTCACACCTTCTCAGACTTTTTAACTGAACCTATGTATCAGGTGTGAAAGGTTCCTCTGACCAGGGTCCAGACCAACGCACCGAAATTTAGTGCGACCGAAGCTATTTCAGATTAACCAGCGGATATAAAACACTGGAGTACTCGACCAATCAGGCGTCTAACGCTCATTCCAGCTGCTCGTACTCTGGGTCTGTGTCTGTTGTGACGTGGTTCATTGATGCTGTCGACTGGAATACTGGAGATTAAGTGTTTCAAAGAAAGCAAAGACCAACATGTGACTGAGATCATATTTTATTTGTTCTTGTAAATTAGCAAAGAAGCCGGAGTCCGTTTTAAAAAAAACTACTCCGGCTAGTTAATTAACGACGGTTATAAATAAGTTATGCAAATGGTTGTTTATCATTAAATATTTAGTGCTGGCCTGAATCTCTCAGAGTGTTTTACAGGCTGATACAGTTTGTAATAATCTATCACTCAACTCGGCTGCAGCTCTAGATTCATCATGTTCCAGAAAAACAAAGAGAAGATGGTCCTTGTTTTTATTTGTGAAGTAAAACATTGATACTGAAGAATCAAGTCAGGACATTTGTATAAACTGATGAGAATAAAATCATCTTTGTTACAAACAAATAAAAAAATCAAACACTCAGAAAAGCTTCCAGAAAAAAGACTTTATGACCCGAAGCATCCTCAGACACTGAAGATGTCGTCTGTCGGGATCGTTAATATCTTCACCTCCCTCAGAATGAAAGTTCTGTGTGTGTGACGTCAACGAAAACCCTGCGGAGACAATATCATGTATTTTGCACACAGCCGCCGCAGTGACAGGGAGACAGGACGTCTACAGAGACCTCAAGTCTGGATCCACTGAAGCATTCTGACACCTGCTTCCGGCAAAGATCGTCCGGTGGAGGTGAAGATGTGAAGAGCAGTGGGCTGGTTTTTAATCCTCGTACAGACGTTTGTGAGCAGATAAAGTTGGGAGGTAGTGTTCCAAAGTCTGATCGGCTTAATTTACGCTCCGGTCATGGTGGTGGGCCCTGAAGTGTGTGTGTGTGTGTGTGTGTGTGTGTGTGTGTGTGTTCCTGTCTGTGTTTGTGACGACATGTTTACGTTTTACGTGTTGATACTTGACGTATTTTCTCGGGTGCTCACTTTAAAAACCTGCGTCTCCTGCGCAGTGAATTCTGATCGAATCCATTCCCACTGCAGACGACAGCCAGACGTTAGTGGGTGTAGGGTTTTTTTTCAACTGTGGGAAAAGTGGAAAGTGTATTTATCAGGTGTTTCTGTTGAGGTGATCATGGATCTAAAAACAGTGGAGCTTTTTGTTACTGGTGAAAACAAGGAAATGAAATCAACTTGTCTTTTTAAGGATCATCATGCACAAAAACACTGAGTGTGTCCACAGCCAAAACCTCTTCTTTCATTTGATGTCTTGTAGTTTTTCTACTTTCATCCAAACGTCTGGTAAAAGCAGTGATCGCTGACACAGCTGCTCTGTCTGTGTTCTGTTTCCAGGCTGGAGTCTCCAACTCGCTCCCTGATAATGGAGGCTCCTAAAGGAATCCAGATCCTGGCCGAGGCCGGAGACATCCAGGCCATCTGCAGGAACGAACTACGACTGGAGTCCAAAGATGGAGAGGTGCGTCTTCAACCAACAGCACAAACTGGTTAATTCAGCTTTCTGGCCCAAATTATGTTCATAGATTTGATCATAACAACATTATCTAAGAAGTCTTATTATTCAGAAACAGTTTAAAATTATTTTTATTCCTCCACACCTTCAACAGCCAGTGGCCAGAGATGTTATGTTTTCGGGTTGTTCGTCTATATGAGCCCAAGTTAAAACCATATGTCAAGAACGCCATCAGGGAATTTCCTCAAATGTAACACAAACTGGTCAGAGTCAAAGGTCACGGCCTTACAAACCATCTCAACATCACTTTGAGGGAATCTCAAAGTTGGTACAAATGCCCACTTCAACTCAAGGACGACCAGATGAGAGTTTGCTGGTCAAAGGTCAAAGTTGAGGTGTCCTCTTGAAGACAATAGGTCACGTCTGTCTTCAGAGAATTTCTTCAAACTTCACGCTGACTTCATATGAGTCCTGAAATAAAAGTCTGTACAGACTGCAACTGCTCTGGTTGGTGGAGGAGGGGCAGTGATTCTCCTTCGTTTTTTAATTGACTCTCGCTCTGTCTCCGAAGCTCATCACCAATCAGCCGCTCTCCATATTTATTTATTTATTTCTGATAGATGTTTTTAGAAAATGTGTAATCGAATAGTTTTTACATCCAACCCTTCATTAAGTTGTTTATTTGAGTGGTGAAGCAGAATGAGCTAAATTTGGTTAAAATAGAAACGAGGGCTCTTCAGAATTAACTCTCTTCATTAGAAGCAGTTGTGTTATTTCAGACATGCTTCCTGCACAAATAAAAAACCTCCCACTCTGTTCACTGGCGGAGAAATTAACTTTTCTTGTCCTGCGGCCATACTGGGCTGATGGAGCTCCATCTCAAATTCACCGTGTCTGCCGTCCAAACGTATTTTTAGCAAACAACAATCCAAACAATAGCTCGTTCCGTCAGCCAAACACAGAGCAGCAGTTCTGCTGTCGGCTGGTGACGGCCTCCCCACACACTGGCCGTCCACCAGAATCTGTCAGAGACGCAGGAAGACAGAGAACAGATGAGGATTGTTTTTCTCCGTCTGTCCTCCTTTCACTCACTAATTCCTCTTCAAGCCTTTTACATGTTCGCCTTAACAACTGCTCCCTCCGTCTTTTCCATTCTTTAGCCTCCTCCCTCCTCTGTCCTCTTTCTGTCTCCAACTTTGCTTATTTACTTTCTTTTCTCCCTTGGTTTGCTCATCCACTCCTCATCCTCTTTCCTTCTTTCATCCTCTTCCTCCCCGCTCCTGAATTCCTCCAACCATCCCCTGATTCGTTACGCGCATCAGTCCTCACATTCACCACACTCGGCTGCGCTGATAAAAGGATTTCCTCCTTAGGTTGCACCAGTCGTGTCATGTCAGATCTGTTCAAATCAACGCAGCAGGATTAGCCAGAAGAAAGTGTTTAAAAGTTTCTCACAAAAAAGAAAAACAGTTTCATACATTAAGACAGGCTGCTGATGTGAGCCGGACGAAGAGAAGGAGGCAGGAAGGTGCCCTTGGATTCAGTTGAGTCCAGTGAAAGTGGCTGATGTGACGCTGTGTGGTCAAAAATGAGGCCGTTAAGCTCATGAAGGTCAATTCGTATATTTACAATCACATTCTCCTTTACTGTCGTCCATTGGTCAAACTATGCTATGGCTTACTTATGTCCCACATCTGGCAAACAGGAGTGGACCACCCAAGTGCCATCACTCCGTCCTTGACAAGCACAACAAATACTTGCGTTATCATTTCTCTCCTTCTACTTTATGCGTCAGTCCTAACTGATCCTGCTCTTGTCCACTTTGTCTCGCCCCTCAGATTTCTCTGGACGCTCGCAGGATCCGCCTGATGCGGCTGCCGGAGGGGAAGGCCTCCACCAGCTCCTCGTCCTCTGGGACCAGGCAGACTGTCTACGAGGTCTGCGTTTGCCCCAACGGGAGGCTATTCCTCTCCCAGGCCGGCACCGGATCCACCTGCCAGATCAGCAACAACGTCTGCCTCTAGGACTGAAACACAGAGGTATCCTGAAGGACAGACAGACGCACACGTATCGCCTGCCTCTCGGACTGATTCAAAGCAAACACAGACACATGCAGAGACTTCCAGAGCTGATGGATGAACAATCACAGATACTGTACCGACACAGATACACCGACGCACTCATGCTACAATCACAACAACTCAGACTGATGTTTAGGCTCAACTGAACCGTTTTAAAGAACCACAACTGAACATTTTCAACTTTGTGCCAATATTTCACTGCTAAAAATATTTTATATGAGTCTTTGAAACGGCGTTCAGAGCATCATGGGACATTAAAACTCTCCTCCAAGTCTCATTAACGTCTCAGCTCTTTGTACACACACTAAATCAGAACAGATAAGACTTTTAAACTGAAGATGAGGGAAACATTACAGGTTTTAACAACTTTTTTAATACGAAAATACAGTGATCATGTGATCAAGGACGATATCGGTCTGACTCAAACAGTCATACATGACACATACAAAGCTGACAGACATGCATATACTCACACAACAGATATGGTCACACACAAACACACTCACACTCCTGGTGAAACCTAGAAGACACTGATCTGTTCCCTTTTTCTCCCTCAAGAAGTTTTCAGTACCAGAATCATTAGGGTGATCACCTCCTCCTCCTTTCTCCTCCTCCTCTTCTTCTTTTCATTCTTTTTTAATGTGGGACAGAAGGAAAATTCATTATTTATTATTAGGCTGAAAACTGACGATGCCATGGTCACATCATATCACATTTACCTTGAATCATTAAATTAGCATCAGGGGAATTATTTAAATTGAAAAGCATTTGGAGGATGGGAAAGTATATTGGTCTTCAAATGCATCCGCCGAACGATGCAGCCACTGAATCGAGACACAGCGATGGTCAGTCCCCCGCACTCTGCTATCCCATAATGCCTTGAGAAGCCACTCAATTTCAAATTTAAAACTTGAAAACGTTCAGTGGGTCTTTACCTTTGTTTCTTGTGATATGACATGAACATGGCACCACTGACTTCAAACAAACTCCAGTGACTAAGATGGTGTTGACGTTTTGTTCTTCCGTCCGTGTGTCCTCCTGACAAATCAGCATCACCGTCCTGACAACGAAGAAAATTATACAAACTCGGCGACACCCACGGAGAACGCTGCTCGGACCTGGGCGATGGTCACCTTACTAATTTCTTGCACTGGGACATTTTTCAAAAATCACACACTAATGCGAGCCACTCTGTTGAAAGAGGGGAACTGTGCCTGTGCCTTATGTCGATGCACTTGTGGCAAGAAGAAGCACATCACACAGACTTTCTTTGGCATCAGCGAGTAACATGATCTCTGATTTCAGTCTCATCCTCGTTTCAGTCGTCTCTCCTTCTGTGCGAATGCAAAGACCTTCAACCACATCTGACTGTAGCTTCCATCTCCTGCTGTCAGCAGCTGATTCTGGAAAAACAATGTGAAACTTTCCTCTTTTGAATTCACCACCCGAGTTTGCCCAGTTTGTTGCGCTGCTTATTTTTCATCAGCAAATATCCTGTGTGGCAACATGTATGTGTTGCTGTTAACACGTGATCCTGTGGAGTTGAACAGGCGCCGATGGGTCTGATCACTGCTGAATAAAAATCAACTGGCACAAAAACATGTCTTTTAGTTCCCCGCGATTCTGGTGACTAAAGCATGACTTGAATATGATTTTTTCTTTAATTCTGTTTGAGCAACACAAACTACTCGGTCAAGGGTCTTGTTAACATATTTGAAAAGTGATTAAGCCACGTATTTCAGCAGCAAATATACATCATCTCTAAATGTTAGAGATATAAGATTTAAAATATTAGATTTATTAATCCAACGAAAAATCCAAAGTCAGAAATACCACTAGAGGGGGGTGTTTGAATAGACTCTTCCGATGAGCAAAGTAAACATGACATCATCGGTATTAACGTTACATGGAAATATGTTCCAGTGAGCATGAAGTCACGTGACGTTACTTAATATTTCTGGGGTTGACAGTTACTTTGCTAGCTTGTTTACAATTAGTTAATTTTACCTTCATGCTTAGTTTAATGTTTCCAAGGAGTGCATCGATATTTCAGACTTGAATTATTTTTCCAATGTAACGCTATCAATCAGAAATTTTACCGTCCACGTCTCTTCAGGTAACGTGAAAAAATAACGACTGGTCGAATTTCAACTCCTAAAATCAAAGCACCCTGAATGTGACATCATGGGACATTGCGGCCATGTGAAGATGGTGAATTATCATTATAATGGAGCCAAATTAAACGTTTTTATCTTTGAGAAATATATATAAATATAACACCCGTAAAAAATGAGATGTTTTTGACCAAGGTGGTGCTGACCACCTTAAAGTGTCACATCCTTTTCCAGAGTCAGGTGCACCAAGCTTCTTGCTGCCTCTCTGCGTCTCACTCACTGTATATTGAAGGACTTTCAGAGATATTTCAAAACTAATTGAACCTATCTGATGCTTTTTGTTTTTTGAATATATGTTCACAGGAGAAATAAATCTTTTTATACAGTTGTATATGTAAATATTGTACACAAAACCACACGTCAGACAATACGCTCCGACGAAAGAGAAACACTGCTCTTTTACAACAATGAAATCCTTTTCTATGATGTACATCAGTATGTGTTTTTGTACAAAAAGGTTATAAAAAATACAGTTAAAGGATATTCATTGATTTAGCATGTACAGCGATGTATACAATGTTTGTCGGTGGAGAAGAAGCTGGGTTTGTTTTATGCCTCCTCCTCCCTGTACTCGTCCCTCCTGCTGAGCTCAGATGTTTCATACAAACACAAACCTGCTTCCTTTCTGTTCTGTTGTCGTCGTGGTGTCGGGCCCGAGGTCTTTGCATTCTCTCCGAGTGTGCTGTGTCTACGTTGTGCTACTATGAGTGAACTCTTTTGTTTTTGTTCTTCTGCTCCTCAGAACGTGTTGAATGATTCTCAGAGAAGCAAACGCAGCAAGTGAAACTAAAAAGAGTATATTACAAAAAGTCACATAGGAGATGATGCACAGGGTTGAAGAGGTAAAAATCTGCAATTATCCACTAAGCAAAATACACACGAAGAAATCCACAATACTACAAAACAAAATGATGAATAATCAGATGAATGATCAGAACAACATCGTCAACTGGACTCAAATATTTCTGTAAAGCATTACTTTGACATAAGAATAATGAATATTATCATCGATTCTACATTTATAAATAACACTTATTTGAAATAAAGATAATTGCAAATTTTATGAATACAAATTTATTCAGAATTTCTCTGCATATTTTGGAGTCAAAATGACATTTGATACTTCTGATCATGCAGCTTCTCGATCAGTAACATCGACCGGATCACGTTCTGTAAACGTTTCTTCCAACCCTGTGCGTTCTTCACTCTGAGTTTCTCTGTGCTTCCTTTTTTTTTTTTTTTCTTACACACTGAGGTTTCTCATCCATCCTGGACACTCACATTTTTCTCCATTCTTCAGTCTGAAACTGCCGCTCGTGGAGTAGTTTTCAAAGATGCCAAAATAAAAAGGCGTTGTTCAAAGTGACCGCAGTGGTTGTTGGATCCTGCCTGACCAGACAAACAACGGGGGCGGGGCCAGGGTGTGGCTTCTGTGCCGGGCCGACTTATAATACTTCTTCTTTATTATTATCTGGTTTATATATATATATTATATCAGTCTATGATTTATCCTCATTGGAGAAAAATCCAGAGCAACACACAGAGCAACACACAGAGCAACAGACAGAGCAACAGTTTGTGATGATGGACTCACAAAGTGAAGAAGCTGTAAACTAGCTGACAGACTCCTGATGGCTCCGACTCCACTGAGCTCTTCTGAAGACGAGGATTATTCAGGTGAGTTCACTGCGTTTTGGTTGATTTCAGGAATTCATGTGGAGAAACTATCAGAATGTTGTGATGTAAATATACAGTCAGTTAGCTAATGAGCCGCTAATCTGCTCACTGCTGTGTGAACATAGCCTAGAAGCTAAGCTAATAGCTACTATCAGGAAGTTGTGATGTAAATATACAGTCAGTTAGCTAATGAGCTGCTAATCTGCTCACTGCTGTCTGAACATAGCCTAGAAGCTAAGCTAATAGCTACTATCAGGAAGTTGTGATGTAAATATACAGTCAGTTAGCTAATGAGCCGCTAATCTACTCACTGCTGTGTGAACATAGCCTAGAAGCTAAGCTAATAGCTACTATCAGGAAGTTGTGATGTAAATATACAGTCAGTTAGCTAATGAGCCGCTAATCTGCTCACTGCTGTGTGAACATAGCCACATAGCACACTGTCATTCAGGGGGAATATTCAGGTAAGTTTGCGTTTCACACGTGACGAACACGGAGATTCTCCGTGTGAGATGATCTAGAATATGATGATGATACAAATGGAGGGAAAAGGAGTGGAGTCGGGAAGAGATGGTGCTGAGACTGATGAGCCCCGCCGAGGTTTCCTGGAAACAGAGAGAGACAAAGGAGCCTTTTAATATCAGCCGACATTCATCTCAACACTGTGTCCCGATGTGATTTAGAGGACATTTATTTACGTCTGGTTTTAAAATGTCTCTGGTGAACACAATGAAATCAGATTTCTTATAAAAAATGCAGCTTGTTAAACACGTTAATCCATGAAAACTGACAGTAATCAAACACTCGCTGGTTGAATCACAACTTTATTAAGTATTATGGGTGGTTAGACAGGATGTGGTCTTCTTACAGAGACTTTGGACCCAAGTTCTGTAGAATATCCAAGACAAAATAAATGTTAGGCCTCAGCTTAGCTTAGCAGAGCACATAAAGAGAGGGAAACAGCTAGCATGGCTCTGCTCAAAGTAAAAAAACTGACCTACTGATATAAACACACATTTTTACATGGTGGCTCATTAAAAAACGTCTAGTAAATATGTTTTTGTGTACATGACTGTAAAAAAGTGGTCAAAACATGTCGATCACCCCCTAGTGGCTTCCTGCAGTATAGCTCATAAACAGCATCTCATGTTAGCAGATGGGATAGGACCACCAAAAAAAACAAAACACGCTTTTTCCAAACCATGATTCAGTAGTTTTTGTTCAAGTGTAAGTTTCGTTTTATTTAGGGATTCTCAGATATAAAAACTACATAAAAATGCAGACACTTGTTAAAAGCGCACTAATATGGAGTTGACCGTTATTTAGAGACAAGCGTAAACATTTCCTAAAAGGTGAAATGTTTCATATATGACTTTGTTGTAGGAAGGTAGATTAGTACGTTGACTACTACTTTAACCGAAACACT